CCGTCCGCGCCGTAGCTCGCGCGGAGCTGCTCCCGGGAGAGGAGCGTCCGCGCGATCGCGGCCCAGCGCGCGCCGACCTTCTTCGCCCGCGTCGCCTTGCCCCGGGCCTCGCGGTCCGCCGCGCGCGCGTCGGCGCGGGCCCGGACGGCGTCGCCGTGCGCCGCGGCGACGAGGACGCCGTCGACCTTCGGCTTCGGCTTCGGGTCGCCCCGCTTCCGCTCGAAGCCGACGACCACGGGCGCGAACGCCGCTCCGGCGTCGACCGCCGCCGCCGCCGCGTCGCGGCCCCGGACCCAGGCGCCGCCCCGCGGGACCAGGGCCTCGTCGAAGATCTCGACGTTGCCGTAGTCGTTGACGGGGATGGAGCCGTCGGCGCCGACGGGCTCGGGCGCCCAGGGCTCCGTCTGGTCGTAGGCGAAGAGCGCGCGCGGGTCCGCGACGCCCTCGGCGGCGTCGCAGGCCGCGTTCATCGCCGCCTCGAGGGCCGCGTCGTCGTCGTCGCCGCCCGCGGCCGGCGCCGCGGCCGCCGTCGACGCGGGCCGCGCGAGCTCGTCGGCCCGGACGGCGCGGCGCTCGCGCTTCCACTGGCGCGCGGTGCGCAGCGTGTCGACGTCGAACCGCCGGTAGACCGCCTCGCCCTTGAAGGTCGCGACGGCCGCCGCGCCGGGCCGGAGGCGCTCGCGGGAGAAGAACGCGGACGGCAAAGCAAAGTTCGCGTCGGACCGGAAGGCGCCCCGGGACGTCGGCAGGCCCCGGAAGACCGCGGGCGGCGCGCCCCCGCCGCCGCCGCGCGACCGGTTCAGCGCCTCGAGCGTCGCCGCGAGCCAGGGCGCGTCGCGCTTCCGCCGGCCGTCCCTCTCGGACCCGAACGCGTCGCCGACGTCGCGCAGCGCGCCCGCGGCGTCGCAGGACGCGACGTAGGCCCGGGGCTTCGAGGCGCCGCCGCGGCGGCGGAGCTCGTCGCCGCGCCGCGCCGCCGCGCCCGTCGCCGCGTCGACGACGAGAAATCGGTCGCCGCGGCGGACCTCGAGGCACCGGCAGTCGGCGCGCGACGTGCCGGAACGCTTCCGGGCCGCGCAGGGCGGCGGGTCGAGCTGGCCGACGAGGCGCGCCTCGAGCCCCGCGGACCGCATGGCCGCGACGCAGAGCATGGCGGCCTCGCACGCGGACGCGCCGCCGTCGCGAACGACGCGCTTCGCGAGGTCCCCGGGCGGGCTCCCGAGCTCCCTCGCGTCACGGGCCTCCATCCCCCGGCCGAGCACGGCGCGCCGGACGGCCTCGACGGCGCCGAGCACGCCGCCGACGAAGGCGTCGCCGTCGCCGTCGGTTTCGTTCGCGAGCCGTTTCGCGACGTGCGGAGGCATCGCGGCGACCGCGGCCGTCGTCGCGACGTCGTCGTCGCACCAGCGGCTCAGGAGCCGCAGGCGCCCGAGGAAGCAGACGACGCAGGCCTTGTGCACGAGCACGCGCGATTCGCGCCGCTGCTTCGCCGCCTGCGCCTCGCGGTAGCTCACCTTGCGCCGCTTCGGTGGCGGTGCGGCGTCTCCGGGCGGCTCTTCGGGCGCGCGCGGGTGGGCGTCGGGCGGCCGCGGCGCCGGCGCCTCGTCGTCCGACTCGGACGCGTCGGCTTCCCAGTCGATGGCGTCGTCCGAGTCGCCGTCCGAGAGGGCCTCCATGCTCTCCGACGGCGGGTTGTTGAAGTGATGCTGAACTTCTAAACTTGGTGGCGTCCCGACCTCGGCGCTGCCCGCAGGCAATGCTGCCGGGCCCTGCGACATGTGCGAGAGCCCCGCGGCAGCCCCGGCACCGGCAGCGGCAGCAGCGCCGGCTCCGGCAGCGACGGCAGCCCCTGCGCCGGCAGCGACGACAGCCCCAGAGGCCGCCGCGCCACCACCTAGTGCGACCACGCGAAGAGCCACGCGGAAAACCAGGGACGCGTGGATCGATGCGATGATCGACGAGAAACACGGCTGGTCGGATATCGAGCAGCTCGATCGCTGGGCCGCCGCGTGCGGCGTCCACGAAACGATCGTCGACGAAGTCGTGTCATTGTTCGGTCAAAGCGGCGTGGACGACGAAAAGAGGCGTTCGGAGGCGCTATGGGGGCTGGTAGAAGCGCTCTACGACAGCTGCGTGGACGGTGTGAGGGATGACATGGTCGAGGCGCTGAACGCCTACGGCCGGTACGCCGGAAAGCCACGCAAAGCGTCGCGGCCCGTCAGGGACTCGGACGACGAGGAATCCGACGACGAGGAATACGGCTGGGCCAAAGGCCAGGAATTAGCGACCGCCGGGCTGATCGGCCCAAACGGCCGATGCACGAAGAAGTGCAAGTTCATGATCCGCTCCTCCTTCATGGCGGCCAAGGAGGCGTTCCGGGACGGCAGCGGCGACGATGACGACGACGAGGAAGAGTGGAGGCGCATCGGGACGCCGAGGTCGCAGCAGGGGCGCATCAGGGCGAGGAACATGTTCGATTGTCGATGACTAGTTAAAGTTGAAGCCTTCGATGTCCTTGAACTTGATGTGCTTGCCAGTGCCCTATCCGGCTGCCTCGTCCGGCTGCCCTCGTCCGGCTGCCCTCGTCCGGCTGCTGTCGACCCCAATCGTACGGCTGCTGTCGACCCCAATCGTACGGCTGCTGTCGACCCCAATTGTACGGCTGCCCTCGTCGTGCGGTCGTCGTCGGCGGCATCGTCTGACCGTACGCACCAAAACATGCGCTGCGCCCTCGCGCTCCTGATCCTGGGCGGCTGCCACTCCATCCAGCTGCCCTTTCGCGGCGCGCGGCGCGCCAAGGCGCCGCCGGCGCCGCGGCCGGGCGCGACGGCGCGCATCTTCCGCGCGGACGACCACCAGCCGCACGTGCTCAACCTCGACTTCGTGCCGCGCGTCGGCTGGCGCGGCACGGTCTTCCCCGCGATCGTGTCGCCGTCACTCGCGGCCGTCGCCGCGGCGGCCGCGACGATCTACGCGCACGATACGTTCGGGTTCGCCGGCATCGACGCGACGGGCCACCTCATGCTCGGCGTCCTCGTCTCGTTCTTGTCGGTATTCCGCTCGCAGCAAGGCTACGCGCGCTACTGGGAGGCGCGCGGCCACGTCGGCGCGCTGATGAGCTCCGTCGTCGACGCGGCGTCGCTCGGGGCCGTGCACCTCGAGGCCGACGATGCGGCGGCGGCGGCGGACGCGAGGGCCGAGCTCGCGCGGCTGCTGCGCGTCTACTTCACGGAGGTCGTCGTCTTCCTGCGCCACGAGTCCGTGGAGACGGAGAAGGTCGGCGCGTTCTGGAAGCCCGACGACGCGCCGGCGCGCGCGGAGCTCGTGCGGATCCACGACCGCGACGCGACGGAGGGCGAGCGCGCGGCGCTCGCGACCGCGGCGCGTCCCCCCGTGCTCGTGTTGAAGTGGATCCGCGCGCACCTCCAGGCCTGCGCGCGCCGCGGCGTCTTCGTCGGCGCGAGCCGCGCCGACCGGCAGCGCGCGCTCGCCTCGGGCGTGGAGCGCGTGCTCCAGACGCTGCCCGCGCACTTCAACGGCGCGGCGAAGATCGCGACGACGCCGACGCCGCAGCCCTACCTGCAGATGTCGCGCTGGCTCATCTTCGCGTTCGTGCTCTCGGTGCCGCTGCCGCTCCTGAGCAAGGCGCCGGCGACGCCCCTCGCCATCCTGCCGGTGACGGTCTTCCTCGCGTTCGGCTACTACGGCCTCGATTATTGTGCGAACCAGCTCGCGAACCCCTTCGTCGCGGACTTTGGCGACGCGGCGCTCGACGGCCACTTCCTCCGCGCGGTCTGCGAGGACCTGGACATGCTCCTCCTCGAGGCGCGCGACGAATAAAGTCGAAGCGCCGTTGATCGCACGTTGTTTTTTTTTATCTGCGCCGTGGTCCCTGTCGCAGCGTAGTCGCAAGGCCATGGACGGCAGCGAGCGCCCCGCACGTAAGACGTCTTCGTACGACGCGTTGAAGCGTAGTTGAACGCGTGTTGAATTTTCGTAATCGTGCGCCAACCGAAGACGCGCCCGCAAGCTACCCGCAAGCGAGGCCTTAGACGTCGGCCGTGAGCCCCGGGGGCAGGGGCTTCAGGGGCGGGTAGGCGTCGAACGCGTCCCGGAGCGCGAGCTTCGCGTCGACGAGGGGCACGTCCGTGTAGTCCTCGGGCGCGTCCTCCTCCGCGGCGGCCGGCGCGGCGCGGTCCTCCTCCCAGGCCGTCTCGTAGTGGAACTTGGGCCGCGGCGGCGGCGCCGCGGCGTCGAAGAACTCCGAGGGCGCGTCGCAGAGCGCGACGGCGGGCTCGTTGGCCCCCGCGCACGACACGCACGCGATGGCCTCCGCGGCCTCGCGGAGCTGGGCCTCGAGGGACGGCGGCGCGTCGCCCGCGCGCTGGTCCACGACGAGCGCGCCGCCGGCGTCGAACTGCGCCGCGACGAGCATGCCGCCGCAGGCCGCGACGCCGGACCAGCGCCGCGGCGTCGTCGCCGCCCGGCCCGCAGTCCGCGAAGCGCACGCCGTCGGCGTCGTCGACGCCGTTCTGGCCCGGCGCGACCACGAGCAGGTGCGGCGACGAGTAGGGCGCGCAGAAGAGGCGGCCGCCGGCCGCGGCGATGCACCGGTACTTCGCCGGCGAGGACGCGCCCGTCTCGATCCACCGCATCGACAGGCGCGCGGGGTCGACGCACAGGACGCTCGCGGCGTTGAAGGGCGCGCAGTAGAGCTTGCCCCGCGACGCGCAGATGCCGCTCCACTTCTGGTTGCCCGCGTAGCCGCAGTCGATCGACGACACCGCGTCGCCGTCGTGCGCGTCGATGACCAGGACGACGCCGGCGTTGTGGGGCGCGCAGAAGACCTTGCCGCAGGCCGCCGCGCAGCCGGACCACTTGCCCGCGCCCTGCCTCACGGCCGAGACGTCGATCGTGCCCGCGGCTTCGGTAATCGGGTCGATCGCGAGGACGGACCGCGCGTCGAACGGGGCGCAGTAGAGCCGCCCGTTGCAGACGCAGATGCCGTCCCACATGTGGCCGCCGCCGCCGCGGCCGCCCTCGATGCTGCGCACGGGCGGACTCGCGCCCGGGTCGACGACGAGCACGCCGGGCGCCGTCGCGGGCGCGCAGAAGAGCTTCCCGCGGCACGCGCAGATGCCGCTCCACTTCTCGCCGCCCCGCAAGGGGGCGGGCAGGTCGTAGTAGGACACGCTGTAGCCCGTGGACGGGTCCACGACCGCCGGCGACTCGCCGGGCCGCTCGTAGCAGCCGAGCACGTCGCCCGTGGGGTCGATGCAGACGACAAAGTCCGCGTTGTAGGGGCAGAGGTAGAGCCGGCCCTCGAGCAGGGCGACGCCGTCGAAGTTGCCGCCGTTGGCCGCGGCGCCGGCCACGGCGACGCGCTTCGGCGCGAGGTCGTCGTCGGCGGCCATGGCTGCTTAGAAAGTTTCCATCTGAATGGCCATGGTGTTTATCTGAGTGGCCATGGTGTTTAAAATGTATCTCGGCAACGTTAATCTCGTTGACTCTCTGTAGGCCGACCTCTCATCACGTAGTTGTGATGGTGGTGGACGTGCGGAGGCGGGCTCCCTGAAATCGTGCGTGGCCGACCTCGGACGCTTCTCGAAGGTCGCGACCGCGCGGCGCCGTCGACCATGGGCAAGTGCGGGAGCAAGCCGCAGGTCGTGGCGTCGAAGCAGCCACCGGGCAAGGAGCCGGCGCCCCTGCTGTCCCTGCGCGACGAGCCGCCGCCGGGCGAGGACGCCAAGGCCGAGGGCGACCCCCCGCGCGGCGACACGCCCTACATGACCTTCCGCGGCGGCGCTTTCATCGACGAGGCGCTCGCGCGGCGCGCGTTCCGGCCGCCGCCGCCGCTCGGCGCCGAGGAGCCCGCGGAGTCGGACCCGATCCTCGACTACGAGCTCGACGACGCCAACGCCGTGCGGGCCCAGCTCACGCCGGCGGCGCTGGACCTGGCGGAGTCGCACCGGTCCTACCACGGCCTGCGGCGCACGCTCAGGGGCTACTGGACGTACCCGGCAGGGCAGGAAAAGAGAGCGAAATTCCCAACTTCAAAGGCTCCGATCTCGGCCGTTTTCCACTCGTTTCGGCTGACTTTTGGACGAGCGATCATCTCTCGGAACGGTCTCGAAGCATGGATGCTTTTTCCGGAACGCGCGCGCGCGGAACACTCATGTTGAAGAGAACTTGAATCACCCTTTTCCTGCCCAGGTACCCGGACCGCGTGACCGAGATGGTCGCGTCGCTGGAGAAGTTCGAGGCCTTCCGGAGGCGCTTCGGCCTGGACGAGCTCGCGAACGACGAGCCCGGCGCGCGCGCGGACTGCGCGCGGCTGCTCAACTTCTGGGACAACATGAAGTTCTGCGGCTACGACGCCTACGGCCACCCGGTGATCACCCGGGCAGGAAAAGTGTGCGACATGCCCAACTTCAAAGGCTCGTATCTCGACCGGTTCCCACTCGTTTTGGCTGATCTTTGGACAAGCGATCATCTCTCGGAACGGCCTCGAAGCGTGGATGCTTTTCACGGAGCGCGCGCGCGCGGAACACTCACGTTGAAGCGACGTTGAATCACCCTTGTTCCTGCCCAGGTCATCACCGAAACGGTCCACGAGACGCTCGCGCGCGTCAATTTGGCCGACGAGGACCCCGAGGACCTCCTGAAGGGGCGCACGGTCTGCACGGAGGCGTTCATCGCCCTCAAGCACCTCGCGACGCGCCGCCACAACTCGGACGTCACGGTGCTCAAGCAGGTCCTGATCGTCGACATGGACCGCGTGCGTTTGCGCATGGTCACGTCGCGCGTGCGGAGCCGCTTCAAGGTCATCATGAAGACGCTCGAGGACGTCTACCCGGAGGTCGCCTGGCGCACCTACGTCGTCAACTGTGTGCAAATCAAATCTTCAACCCGACTTCAATGTGCGCGTATTCGAATGTTTTGACACGAGTACTTCCGCCGTGCTTCGAGGACTCGCTGAGAGCAATCGATTCGTCCAAAAATCAGCCGAATCGACTTCGATTTGACCGAGCTAGAATTCTGAAGTTTGGCCCCGACGTCCCAGCTCACTGGTTGATTTCCACACAGGTCGTCAACGCGCCGGGCTACCTCCGCGTGATCTGGACCGTCGTCGAGTCCAGGGCGGGAACAGCGCGCGACGTTCCCAACTTCAAAGGCTCGGCCGTCTTCCACTCGTTTCGACTGATCTTTGGACGAGCGATCATCCCTCGACGCGCGGAGCACCCACGTTGAAGCGACGTTGAATCACCCCGTTCCAGGTCAAGTCGTGGCTCCACCCGACGACGGCGATGAAGGTGCGCATCCTGGGCACGGACCGCGACTTCGCGCGGGCGCAGATGCTCGCCGACGGCGTGCCCGAGGACGCCGTGCCCGCGTCCTGCGGCGGCGGCGCCGTGGAGGTGTCGCTCGCGGATCTGTTCGCCGGATCGCCGGAGCTCGCGGCCATCTACGGCGCGCCCGCGGCCGCGGAGCCCCTCGAGGCGCCGCGCGTCGCCGCGCCGCCGCGCGCGCGCAAGGCGCCGTCGGACGCGAAGAAGGCCGAGCTCGCGGCCGAGGCGGCCGCGTCGACGACGGGCTACCTCGTGCCTCTCGCCGCGGTCGCGGTCGCGGTCGCCGCGTGGTACTACCTCACGTAACTCGCGTACGACGGGCGTTCTACGATGGACGGTGCCCGCGTGGTCGCGAAAGTGAAGCCACGTACGATGGGTGTTATACGAGCGAGGGGCTGGGGTTCTTGCGGCGCGGCGGCGGCCGTCTAGGCGTCGCCGGCGTCCGCGGGCGCGCCGCCGGCCGCGTAGGCGTCCATCTCGGCGTCGAGGTCTTCCTGGGTCACGGGCCCCTTCTTCGCCGGCGCCTTCTTGGCCTTCTTGTTCGGCGACTCGTTCTCCGGCCCGCCGTGGTAGCGGTCCATCTCGGCGTCGAGGTCTTCCGCCGACTTGGGCCCGCGGTCGCCGCGGCCGCGCTTCTCGCCGCGGCCCGAGTCGCGGCGGTCGTCGACGCGGTCGTCGTGCTCGTCGCGGCGGCCGCGGCCCTTGCCGCCCTTGCCGCCGCGGGGCGCGTCGTCGCGGACCGTGTCGCCGCGGTCCTCGCGGACGTGGATCGTCCGGCCGTCGAGGTCCGTCTCGTTCATGGCCTCGATGGCGGCGGCGGCGTCGGACGCGGACTCGAACTCGACGATGCCGAAGCCGCGGCTCCGGCCGTTGGCGCCCTCCATGATCTTGGCGTGCGCGACGGCGCCGCACGACTTGAAGTGGTCCTTGAGGTCCTGCCACGACGTCTGCCACGTCAGGTTGCCGACGTAGAGCCGCGTGCCGTCGCCGCCGCCGGAGCCGCCGACGCCGCCGCCGGCGTCGCGCCGCGCGCCGCCGCGGCCGCCGCCGCCGCCGCGCCGCCCGCCGCCGCGGCCGCCGCCGCTGCGGAAGCCGCCCTCCTTGCCGTCGAAGGAGCCGCCGCCGCCGCGGGGCTTGCGCTCGCGGGGCGCGCGCTCCTTCTTCTCGCGCGGGGGGCGCTCCTTCTTCTCCCCGGGCGCCTTGGGCCCGCGGCCCGCGCTCAATGCGCCGTCCATTATGCTGCTAAACCTCCGAGCCTGTGGCTGGCAGCGAGTCGACCCGTCGACCGCGAGGATTGGCCACTGCCCAAGCGGGCCAACGTTGCCCTGCATCGAGCCGTCGGGGCAGCTCATTCATCGTTAGCGGCCTGGGCGCGCTGCCCGTACGGCACAAAACCCGGTCGCTGCGTCGGTCGTCGGTGGGCGGTCGTCGGGCATGCCGCCGAAGAAGGGCGGCAAGGCGAAGAAGGGCGCGAAGAAGGATGAGGGCCCGGAGGAGGGCGCCCCGCTCACGCCCGAGGACGAGGCGAAGATGTACCTCGCGACGTGCCAGTCGCTCCAGATGCAGCTCGCGGACCGCACCGAGGCCATGAACAAGGCCCAGGAGGAGAAGCGCACCCTCGACGAGAAGGTGTCGAAGATCCAGGAGGACTTCGCGGAGGAGCAGAAGACGGCCTTCGAGATCACGCGAGACATGACGCGGCAGTACAAGGGCATGCAGGAGCAGCTCGTCGACCGCATCACGCAGCTGAGCCACACGGTCCAGGAGCTCCAGGACAAGCTCGAGGACGCCGAGCAGCACCTCGAGAAGACCATGCGCGAGAAGGACCGCATCATTTCTTTGAAAGACGAGGAGATCTCCGCGATGAAGGCGAAGATGGAGGACATGGCGCGCGAGTTCGGCGGCATGCTCAAGGAGACGCTGGACAAGATGCGCGAGCGCATCGAGCTCTCGTCGACGAACCTCGACATGGAGGGGCCCCTCATCCCGCCGGCCCACGACATCGGCGAGTACGGCGCGTGATTTTCGCGCGCGGGTCGCCGGGGCTAATGTCCGGGGCGTCTCCTTACGTCGCGCGGCAGGAGACGCGCTCGCCGAAGAGCCGGGTCCGCCCGACGACGAGGGCCGGGTCGGCGAGGGTCGTGTCGTCGAACTCGAGCGCCGGCGCGGCGTCGGGAAAGAGCGCGGGGTGGAGCCGCCTGAGCGCGGCCTGGATCTCGCCGATCGTCGTCTTCGGTCCGACCTCGAGCCGGAGGGGCGTCCGTCGCGCGTCGCCCCGGTCGAAGACGTCCACCTGGATCTTCCACTTGGACGGGATGCCTGCGGCGCGCGTCCGTTCGACGTCGAACGAGCAAGGACGCCGGGAACGCGCGCGCCAGCGTCGGTTCGCCGTCGTCGAGGGAGCCGATGATTTCCAGGCCCGGCGGCAGCGCCTGCTGCTCCTTCGTCTCGGGGTCGACCCACACGGCCCGCCAGTCGTAACTCGCCATGAACTTCCCGGGCCGCGCCGTCATGGCCGTGGGCCGCCACTTCTTGGTCGGCGCTGCGGCACCGGCCGCGCTGATGGCCGGCGACGCGGCCGCGGCGTCTCCGAGCGCCTTGAGGTTCGCCGGTTTCACGTTGAGGGTGCGCGCCGGCTCGCTGCCTTCCGCTGCGACGACCACGAGCTGTCGCCCATCGAGCACCGATCCATTGACGACGCAGCGGCGGCCGTTCAGCGCCGCGGCGGAGACGAGGCCCTGGAGCTCGACGGTCGCACCGATGGCGAAGCCGTTCGCGTAGGCGGCCATCTCAGAGGCAGCCCATCGATGCACTCGAGGGTAAACTTTCCTAACTTGAAGTAATTTGGGGGCAGCCAGTGGCCTATGATGGTGGAGCCATTGGACGTGGTCATTCCCACGGTGACCAAGGACTACCCGACCCTCGGCGAGTGCGTGACGTCCATCTTCCGCTACGTCGCCGACGTGCGCTTCGTCTGGCTCGTGTCGAAGGAGCGGCCGCCCCTGGCCGACCTCGCCGCCGCCCACGCCGCGCGCGTCAGGTGGGTCGACGAGGCGACGGGCCCGGCGACGTTGAAGGAGGCGTCGAGGCACGTGGGCACGAAGCGGCCGGGCCAGTCCCCGCGCGGCGTCGAGAAGGACTACGGGCGCCTCGGCTGGCTCTACCAGCAGTGCATCAAGCTCGAGGCGTCGAAGTGGTGCGGCGAGGCCCTGAGCCGGCGCCACCTCATCGTCGACAGCGACATCGTCTTCTTCCGGCGCGTGACCATGGTCGAGGACGGCGTGGCGCTGCTCTCCTGGCAGCCGGAGTACAAGCACGGGCCCTACTTCGAGCACCTGGATAAAATCACGGGCGGCCGCGTGCGCCGCGTCGACGAGCGCATGAGCGGCGTCGCGCACCACATGGTCTTCGACGAGGCCTGCCTCGACGGCCTGCGCGCGGTCGTGCGCACGGCCACGGGCTCGCCGCTCTGGCGCGCGTTCCTCGAGTACGCCGTCGTGCCCGAGGGCGGCGACATCGCCGCGGGCTCCGAGTACGAGCTCTACTTCAACTACGCCCTCGCCGAGTTCCCGAAGACGCACCGCGCCCGGGCGCTGCGCATGCGCGACAACAGCGGCGTCTTCGACCTCGACCCGTCGTCCTACAAGCTGAACGTCAAGGACCACCATTATCGGATGGTCGGAGCGCGCGACGCGGCGCGCGACGCCAGGGACGACCGCGACTGGGACCTCGCCGCCTACCACTGCCGCGTCTTACCGCTGGCGCACTTCGCGCTGAACGCGACGAAGGACGACGCCCTGCGGCGGAGGATCGCGGCCGACCCGCGCGTCTGCGTCCACATCCTCAAGGCCCTCAAGGACGCGCCGTCGTTTCGCGCGGCGCCCGCGCCGGACCAGGCGCCTTTGCCGGAGCGGCCCGTGCCGGCGCCGAAGCCTGCGACGAAGGCGGCGCCGCCGCCGCCGGCGTCGTCGGCGCCGAAGCGCGCGCCGAAGCAGGGGTCCTTCGCGGCGTTCATGGCCGCCAAGAAGGGCGCGGCGCCGGAGCGGACGCCGGCGCCGAAACCGCTCGCGGCGCCGCCGAAGCCGCCGCCGGCGCCCGCGGCACCGCCGACGCCGGCGCCGGCGCCGCCGCCGCCGCGCGAGCCCGAGCGGTCGCCCGAGAAGCCCAGGGCGGCCGAGGCGCCCGTCGACGCGCTCCTGGGCAACCCCGCGGACATGGTGTCCCAGATCCACGGCGCCTGGCTCGCGCAGAAGGCGCTCCGGCCCACGGCCTGCGTCAAAGGCGCCTGGGACGGCCCGCCGCCGCGCGACGGCCGGCTCCGGCGGGGTTTAGAGAACCTGTCGACGCTCGTCACGGCGGAGACCTGCGCCACGCTCAAGGTCCACGGCCACTGCTGCGTCGATGGCGTGCTGCCCCCGGACCTGTGCCGGGCGCTCAAGGCCGAGCTCGAGGCCATGCGGGCGGCGAACGTCATGCGGAGCAACCGGTCCTACAACGTCGGCGGCGGCGAGTCGGGCGCCGACGACCGCGCGGCGCTCCACCGGACCATCGCGGCGGCGACGAACGACGGCGGCGCCATCACGTTGGACGGGACGACGGTGAAGCGCGGCATCTGGGAGGCCGAGCCGTACCACCCGGACGTGCAGCAACACGCGCCGCTCTTCCTCGAGCTCTACCGCGACCGGACGCTGATCCGCGCGCTGGCGCCCCTGCTGCCGGATCTGGAGAAGCAGGAGATGCGGCTCCAGGTCAACGACGGCGTCCGCGGCGCCTTCGACTACCACTGCGACTCGTCGCCGGGGCTCGACGCGCGCGAGATCTCCGCGCTCTTCTACCTCAACGAGGCCTGGGCGCCGGCCCACGGCGGCGAGCTGCGCCTGCTGCCCGTGCCCGAGCCGCCCGCGGCCTTCCCGCCCGTCGCCGGGCGCCTCGTGCTCTTCTCCGCGCACGCGATGCTCCACGCGACGAAGCCGTCGACTGTGTGGAAATCAAATATTCAACCCGACTTCAATGTGAGCGTAATCGAACGATTTGGACCAGACTCTTTCGCTGTGCTTCGAGAACTCGACGAGAGCAATCGATCCGTCCAAAAATCAGCCGAATCGACTTCGATTTGACCGAGCTAGAGAATTCTCAAGTTTGGCCCCGACGTCCCAGCTCACTGGTTGATTTCCACACAGGCCGTCGACGGCGCCGCGCTACTGCTTCACGCTCTGGCTCTACGACGACGCGGCGAAGCGGCGCGCCGCGACCAAGGCCCAGCGGGGCCAGAAGAGCGCCCTGTCGGCGCTGCGGTCCGCCGCGGGCAAGCTCAAGCACGCCCAGCACATGGCCGACTGCCTCGCGGAGCACCACGACGACGCGGCCGCGCGCGCGGCGGCGCTCGAGGGCCACTGGGAGAGCGTCGCGAAGATGCGCGCGACGGCGGACAAGGTGCCCCAGCTCAAGACCGCCGCGTCGCCGGAGGCCGAGGGCCGCATCTGGCCCTGGTGGTAAGCGTGTGCCGGGAAACGACGACCGACCTTCATTCGAGGCGCGAAGTAGGTGGCATGTCCGTTGAATTATCTAGACGATCGTGCAAACCAACTGACGCGATGTCGTACTTAGGGTCCTATATACCGCGGCGCCTAGATGGCGACCCGGATCTTGGTGCCGGGCGTCGCGCCCTCGGGGACGACGACGTTGGCCACGCGGCCGTCCGGCGCCGCGACGGCCAGCGTCGAGCCCGGCGCGGCGTAGGCGGGCACGTCGACGTCCATGACCTGAGCCGCCGGCGCGACCATGGCCACCGGCGCAGCCGGCGGGCCCTCCGAGTCGCGGACGCGGAGCTCGAGGAGCGAGAACGCGGAGGAAGTGCAATCCGAGGGGATGGAATTGCAGTGGTGCGCGAAGGCGACGAGGCTCAGGCCGGCGCAGCCCGGCGCCGCAGCCAGCTCGGCGTTCGCGCGCCGGAGGACGTCGGACTCGTTGAGCTCGCGCGCCTTGCGCTCGCAGAACGCCTTGACGCCCGTCGCGAAGACGCGGCAGCGCCGGGGCTCCGCTTCCTCGCGCATCAGGTCGTCGGCGAGCGGGATCAGCGGCTTCAGCGCCGCCTCGACGGCGGGGACGCGCGGATCGCCCAGCCGCCTCATGTAGATCGACGCGCGGAACTCGCCCTTCGCCATGTCACGCGTGTGCGCGCCGCAGCACTTCGAGTCCTCCATCTTCTCGTGGTACTCGTCACCGCACGTCGGCGTCGCTCCTTCTCCTGCTCCGGCCGGCCCGAGCAGGCACGCGAACAGCACCACGCAGCAGAGGAGCATCTCTTTGAACGACATCATGGGGTCGTACTGGTGATAGGTGTACACCAGGATCAGATTCTGGACCTCCTGGCCCTGCCGCCACTGCGCCTCCTGCTGCTCCGCGCGCAATTGATCCCGTTCCGCCTTCCAAATCGGCATCGCGGCGGGACCGTGCCGGCGACGACGAGGTCGTCGATGAGTCCTGTCGAAAGTGCGTCGACGTCGATTCGAGGTCGTCTTCGGGCTTTCGCGGCGCCGCAGGATCTCCTTGACCCGGCGGCGCTCGCCGCCGAACGTGTCGCCCTCGCGGTACATGTTCTTGACGCTCGTCACGAAGTCCTGGGACGACATGTCGCGCGCGACGCACTTCTTCACGGCCTTGGCGAGCAGCGACATGGCCTGCGCGCGGGGGGGGACGCGAACTCGTCGGCGCCGCGGCGCGCGCATCGAGTACGTCGGAGCGAGCGGCGCGAGGCGCGCGGGCACCGGGGCGGGGCGGGCGTTCGGGCGCGGCGCTCCCGGGGCGGTAGGGGGCAGGTGGGGCGCCCGCGGGGACGCGGACGTTCGAGGCCCGCCCCGAATCGGCCCCGTCGACGGCCCTCGAGCCGAGGCGATGATGGGCGTCGACGGGGCCGACGGGGCGGGCCTCGACGCGCGGCAGGGCGGGCGGGCGGAGGGTAGGGCGGGCGCGGGGGGGCGCGGGCGAGGCGGGCGAGGCGGGTGGGGCGCACGCACGAGAGACGGCGGCGTAGAGCGCGACACGCGTCTGAGATAACGATCCACACCCCAGCTCGAGCTGTGGTGATTCGGCGAGCTCGGAGCTCGGCTCGTTTTTACGAACGCGCCGCTTCGGGACGGACGCCACGCCACCGCGTCGGGCGCGCAAGCCCCAGCGACAGACAGACGCGGCAAACGCGCGGGTGACGATCGATGCGCAGCGTAGAAACTCGTCGGCGATCGCTCAGCGGCGGCATCGTGAAGTGCATGAGAGGCGCCGCGGCGGCGGCATATATCAAGGACATGGGCTGCATCGTCGCAGAAAGCCTGTCCCCGTAGCTCCCGGTTCGCTCGTCGACGAGCCCATGGAGGCCGCCGCCGCCGGCGAGGACTTCGAGGAGGCCATGCTGCGCCGGAAGCGGCGCGAAGTCGAGCTGAAGCGGCTCCAGCTCGAGGAGCAGGCCCTCGAGCGCGTCCCGCCGCGTCGTACGCGCCCCGCCGAAGTCCACGCGTTATTCCTAGGTTGGAGCGGTCGCGGCTCTCGCAGCAGCAGAGCGGCGGCTACGGCACCGACGGCCGGCGGCACCGCGGCGGCCGCGGGGGCCGCGGCGGCCGCGGCGGCGACGGCGGCCGGGGCTTCGGCGGCGCCGCGCAGTGGGCCGGCGCCTACGAGCCCCCGGCCGCGGCGCCGCGCGGCGCGGCCCGGAAGCAGCGGCGGGGCCAGGGCTCCCTCGAGCGGCGGCGCGAGGCGCGGTCCGCGGCGCGCGAGGCCGCGGAGAAGCGCGCGGCCGACGGCACGGCGCTCCGCGTGCTCGCGCCGGCCTTCACGCCGAGCGCGCCGGCCTTCGCGCCGCCGGCCGGCGCGCCCCTCGGCGGGGGCACGGCCCGGGCCACGCCCGCGTTCGCGCCCGCCGCGCCGCCGCCGCCGCGCGCCGCGCCGCTCCCGGGCTTCACCGCGCCGGGCGGCTTCCACACGCTCTTCGGCGGCGACGGCCTCGCGGCGCCGCTCGAGCCGCCGTCGTTGGGCCCGGGCAGCGACGGCGGGAGCATCATGGGCTCCGCGCACTGGTCCGGCTGGCAGACGATCTGCGACATGCTCCACGACCCCAAGCCGTCGAACCGCGCGTCCGCGGTGCAGACGCTGCGGTCCCTGACCCACGACGGCGACGAGGGCGACGCCCGCTGGCGCGAGGGCGAGAAGGTCGAGCGCGTCTCGCGCCGCGAGGTCGCGCCCGCCTGGGGCGAGCCGGGCCGCGGCGCGTGGGCGTGGGGCGAGGCGACCCGGGAACTCCGCGCGGCCGCGGGCGCGACGAGCCCGCACGCGTCGTGGCGGTCCGCGCCCGACGACGACGGCCACCAGCGGCGGCGCGTCGTGCGCGCCGTCGTCGCCAACGGCGGCGTCGCGCCCCTCGTGGACCTGCTGTCGTCGACGAACAACGCGGAGACGCAGCGCGCGGCCGCGGACGTGCTCCGCAACGTCATCTCGTCGACGGCGCGCGACGACGCCAACGACCACGAGATCTTCGTGCCCGACGTGTTGGACGTTGCGGACGACCGGGAGCAGGTCCGCGAGGCGCCGCGCGTCGAGAAGCCCGAGGACGCGTCCTTCGCGGCGAGCGACGGCGCGTCCGGCGGCGACGACAAGGACGACCGCGTGAACCGCCTCATCATGGAGGAGGCGGACATCGTCCAGCCCATCCTGGGCCTGCTGGAGCACCCGTCGGAGAACGTGCGCACGTCGGCGTTGGGGACCATGTCGGAGCTCGTGCACAACTCCGAGGAGGCGCGCGCGAAGATCTTCCAGGAGCCCGAGCTGCTCCCGCGGCTGCTCGACGTCGCCGACGAGCGCGTCGGCTGGAGCCGGCCCGAGGTCGACGCGGCCGAGGCCGTGTCCGTCTTCAAGCTCATGCTCGACGACGAGCTGAATTCGGCGTCGGCGCGCGCGGCGATCTCCGCGCGGCCGGGCGTCGTGAAATCGATCGTGGACGCCGCGACGCAAGCTTTGCCGCCCGACGAGGAGGCCGTGCTCCACCGCCTGGGCTGCAGCGTGGGCCAGCCCATCGACCGGCGCGAGGTCTGGGCCGCGCGCGAGGCGAACGACGCGCTCGTGGGCCTGGGCCGGGAAGGTAGGGACGCGGCCGCGACGGCCGTCGTCAACGTCATCCAGGCCGACAACGACGGCCGCGAGAACGGTTTCGAGCCGCCCCGCGTCGACGACGACGTCGCCGACGACGACGAGGGCGACGACGGCGACTTCAACCGGCGGCGGCGGAACCTGGCCGCGATGGCGGCGATGCGGAATCTCGTGGACGCGGACGTCGACGAGGACGCGCTGTCCCACAACGGCGACGACGTCCTGCCGCGGCTCCAGGCGCTGCGCGACGCCGGCGGCGTCGACGCCGTCGTCGACCTGCTCGCGGACCGCGACGAGTGGGGCCAGGCGGGCGCCAGGGCAGGACAAGAGAGCGAAATTCCCAACTTCAAAGGCTCCTTTCTCGGCCGGTTCCCACTCGTTTCGGCTGATTTTTGGACGAGCGATCATCTCTCGGAACGGTCTCGAAGCGTGGATGTTTTTTACCGTGACGCGCGCGCGCGGAACACTCACGTTGAAGCGACGTTGAATCTCTCTCGTCCTGCCCAGGCGGGCGCGGCGCTGACGCTCCGCGCGCTCGTCCGCGCGGGCGACCAGGGCGGCGCGGCGAAGACGCCGCTGGACACGGTCGAGGAGGCGTCGGAGGAGGACTGCGTCGAGGCGCCGCCGCCCGTGGCCGACGAGGCGCCCGTGGAGGGGTCGCTGCGCGGCGAGCTCGCGCGGACGTCGGCGGTCCCGCGGCTCGTGTCCATGCTGAGCCGGGGCCGCGAGCGGCCCCAGGCGGCGGTCCAGGCCGCCGGCGCGCTGGTCGCCCTCGTCGGCGACCCGGGCCGGTGCCGCGGCCGCAGCCCGTCGCCCGCGCCGAACCGGCGCGACCGCTCCGCGAGCCGGTCGCCGAGCCCCGTGCGCTCCGAGGCGTCCGAGGAGGCGCCGGAGCCGCCGGAGGGGCCGGACTGGGAGCGGCCGCCGGGCGACGTCAAGGGCGGCTCGTCGGCGAACCGCTTCGACCAGGCCCAGCTCAAGGCGCAGCTGAAGGACGCGATCGACGCGGACCGGAGCGTCATCCAGACCATCGTCGACCTGCTCCAGGACATGGTCCGCGCGGAGGGCGAGGGCTTCGCCGCGGCCCACGACCTCGCCGAGACGCTGCGCACCATCGCGTCGTCGGACCTCGTCGCGCGCATGCGCATCCGCGACGCGGGCGGCGTGCGGCCGCTCATGGCCGTGCTCGCGAAATCGGACGCGGCGCCGCGGCCGCCCGACGCGGCGCGCCGCGGGCCCGACGACCGGCTCTGGCTCGGCGGCGAGGCGCCGCGGGACGCGCCGCGGGCGCGCCGCGACTCGAACGCGCGGTCCGACTCCCAGGATTCGACGGAGCTCGCCGCGGCCGCGGACCGCACGGAGGCCGCGCCGCTCGCCCGGGCCTGGCTCGGCAACGACGAGCGCGCCGACGGGCGCGACCGGGGGCCGTCGGAGGCGGAGGACGACGCCGGCGCCGCGGAGGAGGCCGCCGAGGCCGCGGGCCCGGCGTCGCCCGCGCCGCCGCCGCCGCGCGCGGCCGCGGCGCGCGCGGCCGACGACATCGTCGTGCGCCAGGGCCTGCCGGCCTACGAGCTCGGCCTGCACAGCCGCATCACGTCGCACCCGTCGGGCTTCCGCCGCTGGCACGTCACGCACGAGCTCGTGGCGAACTCGCGGCGCCGCGTCCGCGAGGCGGAGCGCGACGCGCGGCGCATCGCGCGGCTCGCGGAGCTGTTGCGCCAGGAGAAGGTCGACCTCGTGGACATGATCCGCGGCGCCACGGTCGCCGGCGCGACGTCGGGCCTCGCGCAGCGGTCCGACGACCAGCGCGTGTCCGGCCTCGCGTCGTCGCGCGACGCGCGCCTCGAGGAGGAGCTCCGCCGCGGCCCGCGCGCCGTCGCGCTCGAGACGCGCGGCGCCGGCCGCGACGAGCGCGAGCGCGTCGCCGTCGCGGGCTACGGCAAGGCCGCGGAGACGCCGCGGCGCCACCGCCACGGCGGCACGACGCCGGGCCTCGTCCAGTACGACGTCGTCCAGAGCGACCTCCGCAGCCTCAAGCTCCTCCAGCGCCGCGTCCGGCTCGAGACCGCGGCCCACGAGACGGCGACGCACGCCGACGAGGAGGTCGACCCGGCCGCGGGCGACCGCGAGGGCGACCTCACCACGGAGCTCCACCTCCTCGACTCGACGCTCAGCGCGCTCGGCGAGATGCGCGACGTGTCGTAAAATAAAGACCGCACGGCTTTGGTGCGACGAGGGCGACAAGTGGCGAGTTCTAAGTCGGGCGAGACGAGTGCGTCGCTTCAGCTCAGTTCAAGGATTGCTTCAAGTATTACTTTCTGAATAGAAACTACCGGCAGAAGATGGGCTGGCTCGATGGCATGTCGTTGGAGCTCACGCTCGAGGGCGACGAGTGCCTGCGGTTCGTCGACGACCCCTACCTCAAGCCGTTCAACGAGTACGGCGAGGTCGGCTGCTACAAGCACGACGGCGTCATCCGCGGCCGCGTCACCGCCAAGGCGAGCACGAAGCTGCCCGTCTACGTGAACCAGATCACGATCGCCTTCGAGCAGTTCTCGACCTACAACAAGTCCATCGAGGGCCACACGCTCGCCTTCCGCGAGTGGACCGTCGCCGACTCGGAGAATCTGAAATTGGACGACCGCGGCGCGACGCTGCCCTTCGAGATCGACCTCTCGGAGGTCTACCCGAGGGACGGCCTCCGGCCGACCTACGCGGGCACGCTCTACTACATCCGCCACCAGATCTTCGCCAAGGCGCACAAGCCCTGGTACTCCTTCTCCGGCGGCTTCGTCGAGGCGCGCGCGCCCGTCCACCTGCTCCGCGTCCACTCGGCGCCCGCGCGATCCGTCGCGGCGCTGCCCGGCCTGCCGCCGCCCCACATCTTGACGCTCGACGACGTCGCGCCGGGCGCCACGGTGGTCTTCGACTACGGCAAGAACTGCCACGACCTCGACGGCGCCATCGCGGGCGACGTCGTCTTCAGAGGGCTCGGCGACGCGAAAGTCGCGTTCGCCAAGGTCGAGCTCGTCAAGGTCGAGTTCGCCGAGCTCCTCTCCATGGACACGGCGGTCTGGACCAGCGTCGAGCTACAGGAGTGTTTTTTCGCGTGAATGTCGCCTGAAGATGTGAAGAAATCCGACCCCGTCGCACTCGGTAGGTCTGGACGACGGTGCTCCACCCGGCCAAGGCGAGCAAGGGCTGGCTCAAGAACAAGGTCGTCAAGAGCGAGGAGGAGGACGGCGACGACGCCGTCGAGCTCGTCGAGCCCGGCGGCATGGGCGGCGACGTCTTCATCCCGCCGGCGTCGGCCGGGGGCTTCTCCGAGGACCGGACCTTCTCCGTGACCTGCGACCTCGCCGGCCTCGACCCGGACGGCGACGGCCGCGGCCGGTCGCTCACGCCGTCCTACCGCAAGCTCGCGCTCGAGAACGTGCCGGACATCGCCACGGACGCCGCGGAGCCCCGGAGCCCGTCCAAGTCCGCCGCCTGCTCGCCGACGGGCGGCGCGGACATGGACGACGCGCGAACCTTCCCCGACGCCGACGACGACTGGGAGTTCGACGTCGGCGGCGAGGGCGTCGCGGAGACGGCCTACTTCCTCAAGCTCACGGCGATCACGGCCGCGGGCGCCAAGTGCTGGGCCACGAAGAAGATCTACCTCTACAAGTCCAAAGCCAACACGCTCCAGAAGACCATCGAGATCGACCTCTAGGCAGGGGTGGTTTAATGAGGCGACGTTAATGCCGCGGGCGCTTTCCACCGCGCTTCATGAGCTCCCGCGCGGCCTCCGTCATGAGCTTGCTGCTGGACACGAGGACCGTTCCGCAGCCATCGTGCTCGTAGCCTGAATGATGGAGCGTGCCGTGGAGGGTGTCAGCCGCTTGAAGGACGCAGAAACAAGGAGCCGACTTATCGAGGTCGAAGACGCAGCTCGCTGCCGGAATGCAAAAGTGCCAGGGTTCACCCGTGACCCGCAGCTTGACCCAAGCGATCGACTCGGGAAATGAATTCGCGCTACCGCCATCCACATGCATCGGAGATTGGTAATTGCTTGAAAACATGACGGCAGGCGCCGTTACCGCGTCGCCGAGCGAATAATTGATGCCAGGCAGACCGACGCTTTCCCGGCAGGCGTTGCGGAAAGCAGCTAGAAAGGGCACGAATGTTATTTCCAGGTGACAGACCTTCACCGCGTTGAAAGTGACATCGTCGCCGTAATCTTTGTCGTCGCGCCAACTGGGGTCGATGTGCGCGTAGCCGCCGATGTCGCACTTGTCTGGGTCCTTCTGCAGACCCGCCCGCATCCTGCGCGTGCCTTCGGCGTGCATGCGGCCGATGTGCCCTTTTGATTCCTCTCTGATGTTACGGCAATACTTTGCTGCCTTCGACACCAACCGTAGGACCGAGAGTCGCGCCGGTCCCCAATCGCCGCGGTCCGAGGAGCCGAACGTATCTCGAATCGTCTGATCCTTTTTTGACACGAAAAGGGCAAGCGCCAAGACCTCCGGTGCGCGCGGTCCATGAAATTTTTTGATGCCAGCGTGGTCAGTAACGACGACCAATGTCGTCCTCGAGACGCTGCGCATGTCGAGCTCTTCGGCGTCTGCAAAGGTGAGATTCTGATGTCGCAAAGTATGAGCGAACTGACGGGACGGCTCGTAACGCGAGATCTCGATGACGTCGACGAGCTTCGATAGTTCCTCAACATTCAGATGCGGCAATTTTTGAATAGACTCCCATACGTCCGGCGAAAGCAATGCGACGTGCTCGCTGTTTGGCGGCAGAAAACGTGCCAGCCGAAGCAACAGCTCTGCGCGCGGCGTCCGGCGCCAATGAGTGGTGAGCCCCGGTGCCAAATCGCGCCGAGACAGCTTGCGGGCTGCCATTTGTTTTTCCAGCAGTTCCTTTCGCATCGATCGAACTTTGCCGAGCATCTGATCGCCTCCGATGTGGTCATTATTGGCACATCCGCTCATCTGCGAAGAGGTCACCGCACCGTCGCAGTCGTCATCCTGAGAGAGCGACGAGACCGCGCCGGTGCCGTTATCGAACTGCGACGAGACCGCGGACTCCGGCTCCGGGACCGACTCCTCGGGCTCCGGCGCGGGAGGCAGGTTGCGGGCCTGGGACATGTGGGGCGCGTCCGGATTCGGGAGCACGCTGGCGGGGAACCCTAAATACTCGTCGGAATCCGGTTCAGAGTCCGATTCGCAGTCGAGCGTGTCGATTTGCAGGATATCATTAATGTCGTAGATGTCCTGTTTGCGCTTGAGCGCGCCTGGCTCAGATGCAGCATGCTCGAGCGGGCTCGGCTCGGATGGAGCGCGCTTATTCGGACTGCTCGGCTTCCGCTGGAAAAAGTTAGAGATCTTGGTGTCTTTCTGCTTCGGCTTCACGTACTCGCGGTTTCGCAGCTCAGCGCGGAGCTTCGCGGTCTTTCGATCGTTGGGGGCCACCGGGATCAGCTGGCTGAGTTGCACGACGTCGCCCGCGCGCTTCTCACACATGGCCAGGAGGCGACCCGTGGCATCATTCTCCTTGTGCTCCTGCTCTTGCAGGTCCACGTAGAGCTCGATCAGAACGTTCGACACGATCTCGAGCAACGTATGATTAAAGTGATTCGCTGAGTGCTCGAGCGCCTTGATAATCTGGCGCGCCATGCTCTCATTGTTCAGATACTCGTTGAACTGCGCCACTGCGTTTTCGTAGTCGGAGCACTCTGCGATCTCGTCGTCGGCGACGTCGGCGGCGTCGCCCGGCGCGTCGTCGGGCGACGGCGCGGCCGCCGGCGACGGCGCGTCCGGAGTCGCGATGGGTTCCGAGTTCGTGCGCCCCCAGTCTGCGCTCTCGGCCAGCGCGAGCAGAGCGTCGTCGTCGAAATCCATGGTCGCGCGGCGCGGCGCGTCGAATGTGCGCTGCGAACGATGCGTCGAGCGCCGCGGCGCGTCGAGTGCGCGTCGAGTGCGCGGCGCGGCGCGTCGAGCGATGCGTCGAAAACGCAGCACGCTGCGGCGCGTCGAGTGCGGTGTACAGCGCAGCGGTGCGTCGACGGTGCGCAGCGGCGCGCGCGCGCAATAGCCGGCGCCGGAGCTCGGGTTCTGCTGATCGATCCCGCGCGCGGCGCCGCCGCCCTCGACGCCGTCGCGCGCGACCGGCGCCGCCGCCACACGCCGCACCCGTGCGCCCCGGCGCCGGGCCACCTGCCGAGGCAGCACACATGCGACTCGAAGCGACACCTTACAGCAACCCCGCCGCCTGCGCCGCGACGAGGAGGTCGTTCGCGACGGGCGCGCCCGCCCCGGACTCGTCGTCGTCGGACTCGTCGTCGTCGGACTCGTCGTCGGACTCGTCCAGGCCCGCGGCGCGCGCGGCGACCTGCATGTCCCGGGACATGCGCCCCGCGCCGGCGCCGGCCCCGCGGCGGCGCTTCGGCGGCGGCGGCGCGGCCGCGCCGAGGAGCGGGTGCGCGCGGACGACGCCGCCCTGCGCCGACTCGTCGTCGTCGTCGTCGCTGTCGCTGTCGCTCTCGTCGTCGTCGTCGTCGTCGTCGTCGTCGTCGCGCGGCGCGGCGGCGGCGGCGGGCTCGCGGCGCTTCGCGGCGTCGTCGCGCGCCTTCGCGCGCGCCGCCTCCTTGTCCTGCTGCTGCCACACCCGCGCGACGCCGCTGAGCATCTGGGCGA